GGAGCACGCCGGGTTCTCACCGGACCAGGCTCTCACATCACCAAGCGCGCAGCGTCGTGAGGTATTCGGCGAGTCGCATGAAGGGTGCGCTGCATCCTGCTAAGGGTGTTCGGCATCTTGTGCTTACTTCCTTGGATACGGATGACAGATGCGTATGACTTCATTTGTTTTCTGGTGCTTTCACTTCAGGAGACATACCAATATGGTACAACGTGGTGAGATCATCCCCCTTGCGCGAGGTGAGGGTTCTCGAGCCCGCCCAACATAATCTACTCGACCACCATTCATCGTTACCACAAAAAAAAAAAACAAAGAGAAAAAGCGGTAATATGGTTGCCGAGCACACGAAGTGATCGGCTTGTTCTACAACATCGCTGCCAAGCGACGAAAACCCAAACCCCGATGGCAAACACCAAGGGGAGGGAGGGGGGGGGAATGTGGAAAATGCCCGCCCGCGCTCACGTTTGTGTTCCCGCATTCACTCACGTTTGGTGTGTTGCTCCTGCCCCCGACCCGATGTTGCATCAAGGGTGTGGTATAGCAGCATTACAGCATTATCTTCCGCGATGGGGTCTCGAAATACATGCCGTTCCGTTCAGTTTGAGGTTGTGAAGGCACACACCCGCGCACGGAATGTGATGGGGTCCGCGTCCACAAATATGTACAGCTGTATCAATTAAACAGTCGCTGAGGAATAGGTTGGTGCATGGGTAATGACGCAAATGATGGGAGCATAATCTGGACCTACTTATGGAGTCATAGACTACGTTTGCAACGGGTTGACTGACGATTGACGGGCAGTGGACCAGAGGAGTTCAAGTTCGGATGCTACGGAGGTTGATCTTCATGGCAAACACAGTCCGTCATGCCTCCAGTGCTGAAACCTATGTGAGCACGTGTGTGGCATGATGAACACACATTGCTGCTGTACGGGCGTGTGAAGCCCGCATCGTCGGCCCTTCCCAGATGCCTACGTACTTGTGCAGAACAGACACCGAGGGTTGCGCCGCAACAGCAGGAATATTCTCCGTGTGCTGTCATGATGTGTAGTATAGCAGTGTCCCCTTAGTACGAGCTACAGCTCCCGTGCATGCTTTACGCCGCCTACCTGGGCCAGTATGGCAGCAGTCACTGACGGGTCCAGCTTATCGTACGTCGGTGCCACGTCTGAGTCGCTCTCGGTGCCGCTACTACTGCTACTGCCGCCGTGCGGCCCTTGAGCGGAAAGCCGCCGGCTGCTGCTGCTGCTGTTGGTTTGGTGTACAAGTACGTGGTTTGGATCATGTTTAGACTCTTCTCCCGGGTGTTCTTCTTCGTAGGTGAACCAATGCCACATGCCTAGTGCTGCTGGTGCCAGTTGCGCACCTATGCAGTTTCTGTTCAGTGCTGCACGACAGAAAAAAAAAAAAGTAAGTGTGAGAAAAAACGCTTCCAACGGGAAAGCAGCCCCCTGTGTAAACCCCTCGGATCAGGCGACTCGCGGCGCAACAGGCCTCCACACCCAGCACGGGCTCTAGAGGGCGAACCAGAGGCTAAACTGCCCAGAAAACTCGAGAGGTATGTTAAAACGATGCAAGGGCACAGCAGGGTATGTTTTTTACGCCTAGATACACATGGTAGGGTGAGAAATTTAGACTTTAGCTAGAGCATACCACACTGCGGCAGCACCAAAATCCGCGAGGAAGCTTCACACGCGAGCCGACCTCTGCGCAAGCTTGGCGTCTTGCAGCCCAATTATGCTGCCGACGTATACCTAGGTCTCATTGCCACCTAATGCAAAAGGTTTGAGGCGATTTAGTGCGGTAGAAAATAAGCATGGTGTGTTCAAAATTCAAATTTCAGGAGAGCCTACGCCGGGGGGTTCGAACGCACGCCCTCGCATGTTGCGCATGTACATCCACTGGATACACGACCCCCATCCAAAGATTCCATGGAAATGCTCGATACAGTCCGGCCGCCACAAAAATTTATAGGAAATATGGACGTCGAAAGAGCAAGTACGTCTGTCTTGAAGTTAAAATTTAGCTCGGTGCTTGCCATGGTGCGAGTGAAACATGACCCGGGGCGCTCAGCTACGCGTACTCCAGACCGTTCATCAGCAGTAGATTGGAACGGCGCAGATATGTCGAGTCGGGCATATAGTCTATAGTGCGTAGATCGACAGCTTTCAGTCCGTCACGCTCTGAGGTACATAAGCATACCCAAACAGAGGATCATATGTTATGCATGGCTGTCAAGAGACAACGATAGAACCACACACATAGCATAGGTGTGCGCCTGCGTAGGCTGTACGTGTCACGTGACCTTTTGTAATTTTTGGTTGTATACCATGGCCAGGTATTTAATGCATGGGATAACGGCCGGCACAGGTCGTGCTGACAGATGACCCGTCGGAGAGGTAGGGGGGGCAACCGGGCTGGTGGGGCTAACAACCCCAGAGGTCAACCGGCTACGCCACCTGCTACACCTCCAAACCAGCCTAGGAGCTCTGTTACACCCAGAAGCGGGGGTATGCAGCCAGCATGGGACCTTCGTCAGCTTACGGAAGGCCCGCTAACCCCGCGTACTCCAGTGGTCGACAACTCAGGGGGAGACATAACAAGTGAACGTCCACGGATCAGGAGCGGGAGAGAGGGCAACTTAACCACTGAGGTGCGCACCCCCACCGCCGCGACAAAGCGCGACGCGAGAGATTCCGGTGCACGCGTCCGTCGGACGGGAGGAAAATCCCGGTCGGGCAGGAAACGCAGGAAGAGGCCCTCTGTTGGTGTCACGGGTGGTGGACTACCCAATCTTGAGAGCAAGCTCGAGGAGGAGGATTACTACAGACAGCAGGGCGAGGCGAGGAGGGAGGCATCGGCCCGTAAAGCTCGCGCGATTGCCGAAGACGAACGGCAAAAAGCAGAGTCCGCGGGGAATCACCCCGTTGATCCTCGGCGTAGGAGTCACGGCGGGAACCCAAGACAAGCTGGTTATCAGCCTGGAAAGCGGAATGCGGGTAGGAGACTTTCTGCCCCAGCGGTGCTATCTGTACGCCAACCAACAAGCAAGAAGCGAAGAAAGGCGTGCGAGCGTATGGAATGCGGGTGGGTTACAGACCACCCTGGCACCGAGTGTAGCAAATGCTCCGGGAGTGTAGTGCACTCGGACGACGATAAGCTATGTTCGGCATGCCACAGGTCTCCGAATGACGACGGTTTCAGGCACCTCCGCGCGGACCGGTTAGGGCGAGCAGTAGACTTCGTGACCGCGTGGACACAAGGAGAGAAAACCCTCCCTCCAGCTCTCGTGCGAGACTTTAGGCCCAGCAATGACTGCCTCTGCGCACGCCCAGACTGCTTCCTAGTTTTTTTCGCCGAGGAAGAAAGGAAGGCAGAGTCTCGCGTTTGCGGTACTTGTGGGTACCGGAAATCGGGCAAGAGCATCGTAAGGTGGTACCCCATGGATGCTGCAGATGACGATGTGGCGGAGGGGAACGCAACGGTGAGCGATGGCCTTTGGTGGTGCGGCCGCTGCTATCAGAAACGGTTGGACGGCATAAAGAGAGACGAGAAACAGCCAGAGCACACAGCGAACAATACGCATGGATCGGGGGGTGAGGCGCCGGTGCCTCCAGATCCGTTGGACACGGTGCGCGCTATGGTGGAAGATGTCGTCCGTCGAGGTGAGATCCTGTACTGGCAGGACGTCGCCGCTTGGGTAACAGCGGAACGCGCGAAGCTTGGCATGGAGGAGTTACAAGGGAGATACCCAAGAAAAATCGTCCGGGCCATATTTGCAAGCATCGAAGAGTCCGGGACTTCACGCTTGGTCAGTCACGAGCCAGCACATGGAGACGCACGCGAGCGAGAACTTTTCCTCTTTCCAAAGACCGTTGGGGACGAGCATTTCGTTGACTTAATGCTGCGTGCTCGCCGTAATGCGCCCGTACAGCCACCATCCAACCAGCTTGCGGATAAGGGCGGGTCTCTCAAGTCCATTCTGAGGGAAGTCGAGAAGAACACGGAGGACGCAGACGCAAGGATGTCCGTCGTGCGGGCAGCAGGTACAATTGTTCGAGCCGACGTGGAGAGTGATCCTGCCCTGAAGAACACCCCCGGGACGCGCGAGAAGCATCGCTACGCCGATGAGTTGGACATGAAAGTGAAGCCACCCAGAGAGACTCTACTCACCGCGTTTCCTCCGGCCTTGGTTGGGTTATACCAAAGCATGACGAACATGGCACTGTATCGCGAGATCATCGCATCAGAGACCGAGTATCCTGGAGAGGCCTGGGTATGGCAGACCGAAGGGCGAGATGGGCGGCACCCTACCACCTCGGGCGACTTGGAGGGCGAGGACGGTGATGGAGAAAAGAAGGACGAGGTCAGTCAAGGAGCAGTGGCGGTGTCGTTAGGGCCACGGACCGAGGAACAGGCCAGGCATATCGACAGCCTTAACCGCGACAGGCGATCTACGCATCGTAGGCTTCTATTAATGTGTACGGTGGTGGTGAAGGCCATTTTGCGTGGTCGGCACATGGGTTCGCACGACATCAAAGGGGCTCAGTGGGCAAAGTCTAAGGGTACGTGTCGCGATGTGATCAACTTTGTAGCGGAGTACGGTTTATGGGCGACGACGTCGCAAATTCAGCACCGAGAAGATTTCCACGCGAGGTTCGTAGAGGACAAGGACCTCCTGAGCCGGGACGCCGAGTGCGCCGCCATTCCCCTGGACAACTGTGATTTTGACCCGAGGGTCGGAGTAGGCCAGGGGGAGGGGCCTCATCTTCCCTTCATCGCTGCGATGGCCTTGACAGTAGGGCCCGACGTAGGTTGAATGGACGACTGGTGGATGGTCAAGAGCCGGGGATCTCTTACGGTGGAAGACGTCCTTATGGGACCGGAGCGGGACCGGGAGGACGGAGCACGGCGGTATAACGAGTTTTCGTCCGAACTCTACCGCGGCGTATTCGCTGAGGCGCGGAACAACTCCGACAGGGCTGCGGCAGACACATGCTTCGAGTCTGAACTCCGCACGGTAAGATATCATTTGGTTACTTTCTCTCTCCTTGCTTTCTGGTTTTTCCACGACTTGTCCCGTCTGATGCTACCCAATTATATGT